TGATGAAGCCATGAAACTTCTCACAACTTGGGTGAATCTGGAGATCATTCTTAGTAAAATAAGTCAATCACAAAAGGGCAATATTGTATGAGACCACTGTTATAAAAAGTCAAGAATAATTTTCCACACAGAAAGAAACATTTTTTGGTGTTTACCAGGGATAAGAAGGAGCGGGAAAGAGAATCACTAACTAGATAGTAAACAACATGCTAATTCTGGTGAAGGGAAAGGCAGCATTCAGTATGTGGGAAGTAGCACAGTGTGACCAAGACAAAGGAAGACACTGAGAGGTATGCAAGAACGAAGAACTACTATGGTGAAAACTTTATATACAATCCTGCAACAACAGAAATAACTGAAACCAAAGTCACTGCCATTGAATCAATTCCAACATATATCAACTCTATCAGACAGACTAGAACTGCCCCATAGGGTTTCCAAGACTGTAAATCTTTACAGAAGCAGACTGCCTAATCTTTCTCCTGTGGAGTGGCTGGTGGGTTCAAACTGCTGACCTTTTGGTAGCAGCCTAATGCTTTAACTGTTGCACCACAAGAGCTCCTTGACAATAATGTTATTGTTGTTGTTAAGTACCATCGAGTCAGACCCAATTCATAGCGACCCCTCCTTGGGTTTCCGAGGCGGTATCACTACAGAAGTAGATTGCCCAACCTTCCTTCCGAGGAGTGGCAAACAATAATTAGTGAGTGGATACATAAGTAGATATGTATAAATCTAAATAAGATATTCTAAATAGGTGTGGGAGGTTATATATAGGACTGTACCTACATGTATATATAGATATGGCTGTGGATTTGTCTATATATGTATATGTATGTGGTACATGTATATTCATAAATATAATGGAACACACAGGGTTACATCTGTGGAAATTTATTATTCATAACCAGACACCTCATGAGACTGAGTTACTGGCTTTAAGATTAAGAACCACTGTCTTGAGATACATCTAGATCAATTGGCATAACATAAAGACAGTGTTCTACACCCTAGTTTGGTGAGTAGTCTCTGGCGTCTTAAAAGCTTTCCAGCAGCCATCTAAGATACAACTATTGTTCTCGCCTCACCTGGCACAAAGGAGAGTGAAGAAAACCAAAGACTCAAGCAATTAGTCCAAGGGACTAATGGCCCACATGAACCACAAAAAAGGCTTGGGGGCAGCTACTGATGTCTAACTTCACAAGGGGGAAGGAGGACCCAGAACAACACCAACAGCCCAAGGTGAAGGTCAGACATGCTCACCCTCCACCTTCTTGCCGATTT